CTGGCCCCGTGGCGGCCGGCCCGGGGGAGAGAGGAGAGGCCAGGCTTTTTACCGCCCGTCTTTGCAAACCAAAACAGAGGGAAGTCCGGCACCGGCTCCGAACCGAGGACGGTAGCCCGAGGCCGAGCTCGGGAGCCCTGTGCATCATCGCCCGCCCCCCGCCTCTCTCTTTACCTGGCTGTACTTGGCCTCCTGCTCAAGGGAGCTCTTCTCCAACCCGTTCACGGCATGCTGGGCCGGCGGGTGGAAGCTGTTCCGGCCCAAGCTGCTCCATTCCTCCACCTTGGGGCTGGGGTAAGGCGAAGTGTCGTTCACCGCTGGAAAACAAAGGAATGGGAGAGAGGGAGTTAGAGGCAGAGGCTGCGATTCGGAGGTGGAGGTGGCTTTGCTTCGGGATGGAGAGGGATCCCTCTCCCCATGGGAGGCAGTCTGTGGGGCAGAGCTAAGGGGAAGCCGGTCCCTCGCTCGCCACATCTCGCTGAAGCTCCTGGAAGCTCTTAGAGAAGGATTCGTGGGCAGAAGGGAGTCGACTCCCTCCGTGAAAGCTGTGACAGATCAGCAAGCGAGCCCAGAGCTGTCTGGCTCGCTCGTCCCCGGTCCCCGCGCTGGCGGGCCGGAGCAAGCCCGGCACTTGTCCCCAGGATCTCCTAAGGCGTGTTTAGTACACACACAGCCGCCGTGTGTGTGTGTTTGTGAGTCACAGGAGAAGCGAAACCCCGGGTTACAAACAGACCTGACACGCCTGCAGATGAGCTGGGCTCCAAACACTTCTTGGGAGAAAAAGAAAACGAAACACACACACACACACACACACATATATATTATATATAGGGAAAGAAAGCGGGAAGGAAAAGAGATAACAGCCCGGTTATTTCCACGCCTCTCAGCCGCGCCATGGGCATACCGGGATGTTTTTCAGGCGGACAAATTGCTCGAACGGCCGGATTCCCGCAGCGGGGAGGCAGGGGAGGGGTGGGGGGAGCCCCGAGCCCCGAGGCCGGCCGCATGGGAGCCGCCGTGGGAGGGGGCTTTCCTGCCGCACCACCTCGCTCGGCCCCTCGCCGTGCTGGGCAAAGGCACAAATCTGAAGTTGTCTTAAGAAATTGAGCTCCCTCGGTGAGCGCCCTTTTCTGCTGATCTCACACTTTCCCATGAATAGGGGCTTCCTTTCCGTGTCAGCAAGGTCAGTTTATCCTATAAATCAAGGGCGAACAGCCCCCATCTGGGGCAGCGGCCACTCCGCAGCCCCGAGCCTCTGACGGGAAGGGGAGGGGGCAGATTTCACGTTGCAGAAAGATGTATGCTGCTGCGGGGCTCAGGGACACGGGGCAGATACCGAGACACCCAGCAGCACCGGCAGAGGCCTGCCTGCCAATGTGCTGTTAATAAAGGAGGAACTCACTAAAAAAATGCAACAAAACAAAACAACAACCAGGAAAAAAAAAACCACCAAACCTAAATTTCACATGTGATTGTAATGTTCTCATTCTTTTTAATGTTCTTTGCCAACACTACCTCTCGATTGCCTCAGAGATTGCCAGGCATGTATTTGTTAAAGTCGACTCAGAAAAAAAACATATTTATTTGTGCCAGTGAGGACTAGGATAAAGTCTATATCGTAAAGGGTGAAGAACAAACTTACATTTTTTGCATGTATGTATATAAATAAAACATACTTGTGCGTGTGTATGTGTTGCTTAAAAAAATACCACCTTCTGATGAAATAAGAAGAAAATTACTCTGCAATGCCTAAAGGATTATCTTGCATTTGAAATGGTTTTAGAACTGGATTGTTGCTGTTAAAAAGGCAGTGAAAACAGAGATCACAGCTCCCACCTCTCCACTAAAAGAGAAAAATGGGACACGGAGATCGCTGTAGGCAAAGGTTATTTCGGATTGTTGTTTTCAGTGACACTTTGAGTAACGCTTTCACTGTTAGTTCACTGGCAGAGACCGAAATGGAAAAAAATGTCTCCTGCTAGCAAGCGGCCCGGGAGACGCGACGCAGTTTCCAGGCGGGGGAACAGAGAGAATGTGAAAGGGATAAAAGAGGCAAATCTTGGGCCTTTGGTTTTCCTGGACCACCGCTTCGGAGGAAAATACAGCATCAGAATGAAAGCAATTAGATGACATTTGAACTTCCTGCCCGAGCAAATTTGGCCTGATTGCGAAAACTACAGAAAATAGACTTTTCAGTAAGGCCAAGGAGGCGCCCGTGGCCGGAGCCGGGGCAGGACCGGGACCGAGTGGTCCCTGGTGCCGCTGCAGCCCGGGCCGGTCCCTCCGGCCGGGATCGCCACTTCCCGGCTCAGAGAAGCGGAGGTGACGGCCCATGGGTTCTGCTTGCGGGTCCGCCTGCAGCCCACCCAGGCCCTTCTGTCTGCCCGCGTTCCGAGACGCATCCGCCAGTAAGCTCAGTGCCCTGCCCGTGCTGGGGAAAACGCGAGGGGGGTCCCGAATCAAACAAGGAAACCACCTTCCGACCCTCGCAGAGGAAAGAACCCAGGAGCAAGGAACCGAACCCCTCCGGCCCTGTTTGGCTGCCTTTGTGGCCCCGGCTCCCTCCCGCTTCTCACCTTGGTCTGTGATGGACCGGATCCCCAGGATGTCCGTCACCGAGTGAGAGGACGGCCACGTCCTGGGCATGGCCATGGTGCTGGGGATCGCCGGCACCCCGGGAGGGGTGGACACCTTGGCTCCTGCGGCAGCGATGGGGCTAGGGTAGGGGTAGATGTGGTTATAGGGCAGAGCAGGCTGTGGGGGCGGCTGGTGCTGCTTGTAAGACTCGTAGTGACTCTGCTGAGACAGGTTCCCGATTTTGTTCCGGAGGATGCGGCTGATGGAGCTGACCGACGGCACGTTGTACTTGTCACACACGCCATCGGCCAGCAGGCGATCCCGGATCTCCCAGGCGAAGATGCCCGGATCCCTTTGTTTGTAGGTCCGGATATGTTTCACCACGGTGGGAGTGGTGACCCGAGGCTTGCTGCCGCCGATAGCCCCCGGTAGGATGGAGCCGGTCTCGTTGTAGCGAGCCAGGATTTTGCTGACACAGCCGTGGGAAACGCGGAGCTGCCGGCTGATGTCACACGGCCTGATACCCAGTTGCGCCAGTTCCACAATCCGCAGCCTGATGGCATTGGGCAGGGGTCTCCCGTTGACAAACACCCCCCCGAGCTGGTTCACTTCCCCGAAGGCAGGTTCTGCAAGCAAATGCACAAACACAGCCGTCGGACACGGCGGACGGCACAGAAGGGGGCGTCTGAGCTGCTCCTCATCACAGACAGATGTCACAGACAGGGACCCCCCCGGTCACTCCACTCACGCTTCTTTATAATAGCGGGATGCCCCCAAGACTGAAGGAAGGAAAAGGGAGGGAGGAAGAGAAGTGAGAGGTTAAAAGAAATAAAATAAAAAAAAAAATAAAAAAGGGAGAGAGAAAGAAAAAATAAAAGACAGAAAGAAAGACAGAAAGACAATCCGTGGCAACAAATGTCGGAGCTCTCCGGACTGTGCATCAAGCATATTCCCAAAAATAAGCACATTCCAGAGATGAAAAACGAGATCGCCCCAACAGACAAGTCAGCTTTATTGCCACAGGAAGAAGGAACGCGAAGAAAACAAAAAGAAAAGAAAAACATCTTCTAAGACGTGGGGGAGGGGGAGGAAGGAAAAGTAGTTGAGCAAATTCTTTTACATCTTGGGAGAGACGAGGGCGACGCGCTGCTTCTGAGTCGGGACTAACTTTTTAAAGACCGTTCCTGGTGCTGTTAGCGCCTTTCGCTTAACAGCACGATCACACCGGGCTGTAAAACAAGCGCGTTTCAATGTTAACTGCTACGATCGGTGTCAGGAATAATAATATACAACGTGTCACGGGCTGCAGCCATCCGCTCGGCTGCGATCCTGACTCGCACTCGCCTAATAACACTAATAACAAGCCGATTAGTCATTAGCTCGCTCTCTCCCCTGCTCCTGACCCTCAACATGTTCTTACAACTTGTAGGAACACGAGCAAAGTCAATAAGGGAGCCGCGGCGGTGGCAGATGACTGCGCACGGGTGCTCCCCCTCTCTTGACAGCACTTGAACCCTCCTGCGGCTCCCGGCCACTTACCCATTCCTCTGAGCGGGGCACCTCGAGGCCGGCCCTAAATCCCAAGGGATCCCTATGCCCGGGAACCGACTCCCGGCCTCCTGCGCTCCTGGCCCCGAGCCTCTCTGATCTCCGCTGAGGAGGGAACGGTAGCGCGAGGAAGAAAAGAACTACAAGGAAATCTACATCCCGACGAGAGAGCCTTGACTTCTGCATTTCAACCTCAGGGCAGCGTGGGCAGGGCCGGGCTGGGCCGGGCCCGTGGCCCACC